GGGGGGGGGGGGTGATTAAAAAGTACGACTTTATTTCTTTTTAATTTTTTTAATATTTAAGAATTTTGCACCTTTTTAAAAAAAAAAAAAAAAAAAAAGAGATAAATATTTGTTCAAGGTGTTGCTGTCACGAGGGTGCAGGTTCTCAAAGCACAAGTGCTACTCGAGCTCCACAAAGAACAGGAATCTGAAGGAGTAGGCGAATTTTCACCTGAGGAAAACAAAGATGGCGGCCTTGTTCCGTCTGCTGAAATTAAGGAGTTGCTGCGTCCACTTTGTCCAAAATGCAGAATACTTCGTGGAGAAATGGCAACCCAAAGTCGCTGTAATTAATCGACATATCAATTCATTTAAAGTGATAATATTTTACGACACTTTCGATAAATTTTAAAGAACAAAACACAACGAAACACCATTGGATACGTCTTACAATTAAAATTATAATTTTTGTAAAAAAAACAAATAAAAATGAGTGCTGATACATCGCCTTGACCTTGACGTGCTAAGAAAACCACCATCAGGACACCCATTAACAGAATTGACGTAACCAAGTGTCCTGATGGAAGGTGACTCCCCTACCAAGCAATAGCCTAACCTATATATCATAAAGACTCTTAACAACAATCCTTGTTTTTTTGTTTTTTTTTATTATCAATGAGCTTTGGCTACGTGGGGAACACACATTGACCACTGATGTATAACACTGAAGCTTGGCTACACGGGGAACGCACATTGACCATTTGACCACTCAGGTGCGACAATGGATTTTGGCATGCCCCGGCAGCAGACGTGAATGGTTGCCACCACGGATTATTGATAATAAGGACTCGACCGGGTTTTTAAAGCCCAACACTCAGGAATGACATCATCATGCCAAAACCTCAATTCCATCCACATGTCTAGCAATGGACTTTGGCTACGTGGGGAACACACATTGACCACTTATGTCTGACAATGGACTTTGGCTACGTTGGGAACACACACTGAACACTTGACAACTTATGTCTAGCAATGGTCTTTGACTATGTTGGGAACACACACTGAACACTTATGTCTAACAATGGACTTTGGCTACGTGGGGAACACACACTGACCACTTATGTCTAACCATGGACTTTGCCTGGGAACACACATTGACCACTTATGTCTAACAATGGACTTTGGCTACGTGGGGAACACACACTGACCACTTATGTCTAGCCATGGACTTTGCCTGGGAACACACACTGAACACTTATGTCTAACAATGGACTTTGGCTACGTGGGGAACACACACTGACCACTTATGTCTAACCATGGACTTTGCCTGGGAACACACATTGACCACTTATGTCTAACAATGGACATTGGCTACTTGGGGAACACACATTGACCACTTATGCCCATGTTTTTTTGCCTACTTTAGTGTTTTGGAATTCTGGAAGGAGATAAGGTCTTTCTAAAGTGAAGGCAAAGTTCTGGTAATAATTTTATGTACACATTTATGTAGGCCTACAAAATATATTTAAAGCACCGCGAAGAGTGAATGGCTTGAACCATTTTTAGTTAATTCCTACGTAAAGGAAAAAAAAATCGTTTGGAACGTCCTTTTTGATATTCATCATTTTTTTTATATTCGTCCTTTTAAATATTCATCATTTTTTAATATTTGTCATTTTTTTATATTCGTCCTACCCTCCGGAACGGATTAACGAAAACATTGAAGGTCCACTGTATAACTGTGGAGATCTGTGATAGGCTCTGTGGAGATCTGTGGTAGGCTCTGTGGAGATCTGTGGTAGGCTCTGTGGAGATCTGTGGTAGGCTCTGCCTAATCTTGATACCTGCCGCATTGGGGGCCGTCCATAAAGTACGTCACGCTATTTTTGACCATTTTTACCCTATTTTTGACCATTTTTACCTCCCCCCCTTCCTGTCACAAACTGTCACAAATCACGGAAACCCCCCCCCCCCCGCCAAAGTACGTCACACTACTGTATAACTGTGGAGATCTGTGATAGGCTCTGTGGAGATCTGTGGTAGGCTCTGTGGAGATCTGTGGTAGGCTCTGTGGAGATCTGTGGTAGGCTCTGCCTAATCTTGATACCTGCCGCATTCGGGGCCGTCCATAAAGTACGTCACGCTATTTTTGACCATTTTTACCCTATTTTTGACCATTTTTACCTCCCCTCCTTCCTGTCACAAACTGTCACAAATCACGGAAACCACCCCCCCCCCCGCCAAAGTACGTCACACTTTCGAACAAATTTAAAAAAAAATTAACACCTAATTGAAATTTAATCTAAAACACATTTCACTATTAAACTGTATAAAAATATAAAATTTCCACTTAATATCCACTATTACATTATTAAAAATGACTTTAATAGTAGAATAGTTAATTTTCAACAGTTTCTACAGTTATTCATTGAAGCAGTAGCTAGATCTAAAGTCAATCTAGATTGAATTTGAAAACAAAAATGGCAAAAATTAGACTAGACAATTGTATAATACACATCATTTATCTGCTGCTTTTTCATTTACAATAGGTGAGGTCAAGTTTTAGATAATGTTCCGATTATGCAATCTTTTTACACAGGTTAAGAAGTATATTAGAAAAACGTGACCTAACCAAATGATTAAATAATGAAAAGGACAGTGACTGAATGATGCAGCGGACAACATAGAAATAATACTTCAGGAAAGATGAAAGCAAGGCTATACATAAAACAAGGCTTCGCAACAGCATAGGAGCACTCCTAGCGAGAGGAATCGTGAACAAAACATTCAGGAGATACTCATTTCGTGCTATTTTGACATAAAACTAATTCAAATGATACACACAATTTTTGACAATTTTTTTTTAAAGCTATTAAATTCCACTAAAAAAATAAAAAATAAATTAGAAGTAAAATTTTAAAAAAATAAATGTGTTACGTCACACATGGCCTGACCCCCATCCCCCCTGTCACAATTTCTTACACCTCCTCCCCCGCCTCTGGAGCGTGACGTATTTTATGGACTGCCCCTTGACATCTGTTCGTGTTAATAGCAACAACATGACACTTTTCCCGTACGGAAGGCCAGCCCTATAAATAAGCTTATTATGATGAGTATCTAATTTTAGAAAATTAGGTCACATTATTCTCTCTTGGTGTTTGGGATCGATAATGTGTGGGCTGTAGACGGCGATCAAGATTAATCATTTGAAGACTTTTCCCCCTCAATACTTTTGCCCGAAATGACATCTATTTTTCGCTATTTTTGTAGGATAATTTTCAGTCAATTGGCTCATTGAGAAGGGAGCCATGTACAAAAAATTGCTTTAAAAAAAACAAAAAACAAAAAAAACAAAAAACAAACGAACAATAACACTGTAGTGTAGATTCGTAGTGTAGAGGAACAAATACATACACAATTTTACTTCACTCATTTTGATTTTGAACAGAAAGTTATTAATAATTTATTTCATACCGTATTTCTAAATTGCGTAGTTGTCTTAGACGTACTTCTATTTATAAAAGCACGTCACTGGTTACGTAAAGTAGATGTTGGGGGGTGGGGGTCTGATACTTTGTCATGCGCACTCACGGTTGCCATTTCTTGTGGTGGTGCAATGCAAATTTAAAAAAAAAAAAAAAAAAATTATAAAAATAAAAATGAACTAATAAAAACAACAAAAAATAAAATAACACAAAAACGATNGCAGAAAATACAGGAAATCTGAAACTTACCCATCGAAGATCCAAGGACACCTTGAGCGAAACCCCAGAAGTCAGTAGCTCAAACGGACCGATTGGCCATTCCAACAATGGATCTAACGACACTTTTGGCCAATCGAGGTACACACGAACTCTCGCGATCCTTAATCGGAAGTATTGCTAATAAAACTGATTAAAATTTCTTGAAGGGGGCGAAACCTAGGGGGGGGGGGGTCGAATGGAGTGACCACCCCGGGCGGCAGTTTTGTTGAATTATATAATTTATCCCTATAAAGATGATGTGTGCACGTGATGGTTTAGGGGGCGCACTTTTGAGGGTTCCCCCGGAGCGGTATTTAGTCAAGGTAATCAGGTAATCCCATAACGACAATCTTGTCAACTTGGGTAGCCATTTAATTATTTTTTTATTATTTTTTTATTATTTTTGTTTTAATATTAAAGAACATTGGGTTTGTTTGCGTATTAAGCGATGGGAAATTTGCCATCGCATCAAATAGGGCCTATATTTCAATTCTCCTGTTCCAAAAAGAGGGTGCGGGTGGGGGAAGGAGGAGTTTGGCCAGTACAAGTACAACGGTAATCGGCTCGATAAATCCACAGATATACCGTTAGATTACTAATATAAATGAAATAAAACAGACGAATAGTGATAAATTTCGCATGAAATAAAACAACTAGATCAGAAATTAATTAAATAAATAATAGTGCTAGAAATAAAGAATAAAGCATTTCGTCTTTGCTAAAAATTAATCACACATTCACATTCACATGGACATGGATTTATTTTATAAACTACATTAACAATCTTCAGCTATCCTGTTTAGTGATTTTAAAAAGATCCATCCTTTTGTGTTACAGTTTTGTGTGTCATTTTGGAGTATATTGTACAATGCGATTTAAATTATATTAATTAATAATTAATTTTAATATATATAATAATTTATTTATTATTATTAAGTAAGAAATAAGTAATGTAACTATTTAAGTGCGCATCAAATATTGCATGTGAATTAATATGTAAATGTTTAAACATATTTAGGCCAGATAAAATACCACATTTTTCAAATTAAATGAAAAATTATAGTTTTACATTCAAACAGAGGTAAGTTGAAGTATGTAATAATGTAATATGAAATAGCCCTATTTTTTTTCGCTTTTCTGATGACGTCAAATCGTGGGCGAACACCATCTGATTTACTGCAAGACCGTCCGCTGACAAAATAGTTTTTGTAATGAATTGGATGTATTTGATGCTCAGTATTAAAATTGTAGAGCTTGATTAAAAGTCTATAAACAATTTTGTTATGAAAATAAATATATAGTGAATGTTTATAAAAAATATTTTTGTAGCACTAACATTAAATTTACGTTGTAATATCAATGCGCATCCTGATCCGGTTTACGGGAACTATCCTGTCTTTTCACTTAATACATTGATTGGAGAACATGTCATATAACTCTACTGAACAAGATCGGTAAGAATTAATAAGTCATGCTTAAAGTTTGTGTCTAAATGTTAGTATTCAATAGCTTATGTTATTTCGATATTTATTTGACTGCCTCTATCAATGTAAATGTCTAGTTAGTTAACAATGGCTTTAGAAAACTGTCACCCAACATGAAAATGTCTGCCTTGCCGTTCAATGGTGCCCGTAAACCTATATGGCGGATCAGCACGTGTTTCGCTAGCGATTCTCACAATCTGTAATTTTTTTAATACATATTTGAATGAGATTGTTACTCAGCAAATATATTTTGAAGGGGCGATTTAGTGAGCCAGTTAAAGGTTTATTTCTGCGTAACTTAGTTAGCCTACTCAGGAATGACATCATCATCATGCCAACCCCCACAAAAATATGGCGGGCCATTCTTGTAGGCTTTTCACGCCAAACATTTTCATTTTGCAATAAATATTTTAAAAAACTTTTACAAAATTTTTTTTTTTTATCTCATGATTTTAAAGTGGGGGGTTGTCATTCTCCCCACAATTGAAACTAGGCATTGTTAGGCTTGCAATAGAGTTTGTATAGGATAGGTTCTGGCTTTTGTAACATTCTGATAGATACTTACTTGTTCACCCATTGCGAGTGATAAGTGATACTTATTGTCGATCATTTATATCAATCTTAGCATAGGTTGATTTATTGTTTTTTATGGCTTTGATTAGCTTATCAAGTTCTTAAATTTGTTAAAAATAAATTGAATGGTGTTTCAATATTTAATTTGGCTCAAGCCTACATTATGAATAACCAATAAGTTAAGTACAGCTACAGAATGTCTAGTACACTTCAGAAATAGCATTTGCAAAATAGAAACATGCTGGCTGAGAAGACAAAAGTTGGTGCCTAGACTTTTTATATTTGATTTTTTCTTTTCCTTGTCAAAAATATATTTTTACTGCTTTTAATAGATACTTTGGTCAAAAATGTAAACATTTTTTAAAAAATAAACCAATGGCACAGTTGAATAGAGCTAATTTTAAACAGAATTATAACACCAACATCATATTTTTAGCTGTTGTAGTTTTAAAGTTATGAATTTTTAAAGTACGACTTGGTTTGTCCTTTTTTAACATGGACTGCATCTCCACATTCTGTGACCTCATTCCGCCGATCGCGTCATGCGCAATGACTATATAGTTTATATAAGGCTAAAGCATTCCCGTATCACTAAAATACTGTTTAGGGTCGATTTATTTTAAACTTTCAACTTTGGCACATGAATAATTAATTAAAGCTTTCCCTGACCAATGGTTTAATAGTTTTTGCACACGGCAAACACTTATGAATGAAACTCTGAGATAGTACTACGATATAGCCGTTATGCAAGTGGCTGTGAATGGTTGCCAATGACAACGTGTTGCACACGGAAATTTCTGATCATTTATAATATGGACTCTACAGAGTTTTTAAAGCTCAAATTAAAACATTCCAGTTTAAATGTCTTCAAAATGCATTCTGAAACACAAGTTATCAAATATTTTGATGTATATAGTGGTAATAATTAAATATTTCTTAAGTATCGGCAACTTCCGCCATTAAAAAGGGGGCGTGGCCCACGCCATGTCGAAATAAGGCGGAGCCCCCTTATGGTGATATGGGTCACTGGGAGAAGCGTAGCGAACGTGGGACACGACCTACATCAATGAGAATTGGCACAGATATATATCAATATCTGATGCCTTACACGATTTAATATGAAAGACCTGTATTTTATATTTCACAAAAAATTTTGCATGCGAAGATGCCTTATATAAACCAAAGATTTCCAAAATAAAGGTCGATTGAAAAAGCAAAATAGTTGGATTGAAATGTAGGCCAAGATGTCTTCCAAATTATAAGGCCGGAAACGGAACTCAAATATATGTCCAAAGAACTAATTTAATAATAAATAGACACACACATCAGAAAATTAAAAACTCGGATTTTTCGGCGCCGACGCCCATTTCCGATACAAAAAAAGTAGTAGTCTCCCTTGTTTTATCGAAGTATCTACTTTTAAATTAACAGTTTTAGATGCATGAAACCGGTGGATATATTATGTAGATATATTGTAGGTTCATGTGTTTTAATGAAATATTGCACATGCTATATATGAGTCGTAAGTGGAAAAGGATTTACTATATTATATATTAGAGACCGACCGAAAGTGATTTTCTGATTTCGGCCGAAGCCGAAAATAGGCCGAAATTTTAAAATGACTTACGGCCGAAACCGAAAAAAGGCCGAAATTTTAAAAATGACTTTCGGCCGATACCGAAAAAAGGCCGAAGATTAAAAATGAATTTCGGCCGAAACCGAAGCCGAAACCGAAAATGAAATATTAAGATATTTTGAAATTCGTTCCCGCATACATTCTGCATACATCGAAAATGATGTGGGAAAGTATAAATATTTACATTCTTTTATAACAAAAATTAGATAATCGTAAATATTAATAAATAAACATCTAATATAGGGGTCTCAAACTCGCGGCCCGCGAGCCATATGTGACCCGCAAGACTATATTTTGCGGCCCGCAGAAAAGTTTAGTGTAAATGCGCCGGCCCGTTTCCCCCATTCTCATATCTATAACGTGACTCTCCGCGACGGTTTCAGTCGAATATCACCGACTAGTCTAATTCTGACTTTTTAAAAAAAAATATTTCTACATATTTTTGTATGCCAGGTCTCTGGCAACAGTGAGTAGTTCTTGAGAACCCTTAATGATTTTATTGTTATTTATAAAGGTTGAGCAGATTGTAACAATTGTAATCGCTTTTTTGTGGATAACTTGATGCGGCCCACTCTCATTCAGACACTACCTCCTGCCCCCCCCCCCCTTTCGAACGATTTGAAATTGAGATCCTTGGTCTAATGAATACTTTGGATTTTACCATTTTATTATAAAAGTAATTTAAATTGCTTTACAATTTTTTTTTTAAAATTCGTACGGTAGAAGAAAATTAAGCAAAACTTGGGGGGGGTGGGGGGGGGGGAATTAATGCAAACTATTATTTTTTTAAACAGGGTCTCTAAAAAAATGTGGTTCTAAAAGATCGCTTAATTTGTTTTTAAAGATCGTTTAGTTGGTTGTTATTGATCGTTTAGTTTGTTGTTAAAGATCGGTGAGTTTGTTTATAAAGATCACTTAGTTTGTTTTTAAAGATCGTTTAGTTTGTTGTTAAAGATCGTTTAGTTTATTGTTAAAGATCATTTAGTTTGTTGTTAAAGATCGTTTAGTTTGTTGTTAAAGATCGTTTAGTTTGTTGTTAAAGATCGTTTAGTTTGTTGTTAAAGATCGTTTAGTTTATTGTTAAAGATTGTTTAGTTTGTTGTTAAAGATCGTTTAGTTTGTTGTTAAAGATCGTTTAGTTTGTTGTTAAAGATCGCTTAGTTTGTTATTAAAGATCGCTTAGTTTGTTGTTAAAGATCGTTTAGTTTATTGTTAAAGATCGTTTAGTTTGTTGTTAAAGATCGCTTAATTTGTTCTTAAAGATCGCTTAGTTTGTTCTTAAAGATGTCCAGTTTTGTTAATGATCGTTTCATTTGTTCTTAACGATCGCTTAGTTTGTTGTTGTAAAGATCGTTTAGTTTGTTGTTAAAGATCGCTAAGTTTGTAGTCAAGGATCGGTTAGTTTGTTCTTAAAGATCGCTTTGTTTGTTTAAAGATCGCTTAGTTTTTTCATAAAGATCGCTTAGTTTGTTCTTAAAGATAATTGATTTTGTTCCTTAAGATCGATTAGTTTGTTCTTAAAGATCGTTTAGTTTGTTCTTAAATGTCCCTTAGTTTGTTGTTAAATATCGTTTAGTTTGTTTTCAAAGATCGCTTAATTTGTTCTTAAATGTCCCTAAGTTTGTTGTTAAATATCGCTTTCGCTGAGTATGACCGAAAACCTGAGTCACTTTCGGCCATCCGGCCGAAAGTCTAAGTCAATTTCGGCCGAAACCGAAGAAAAACCGAAAGTTAACTTTTCTCCTTCGGCCGAAACCGAAATTAAGCCGAAAGTTAACTTTTCAGTTTCGGCCGAAACCGAAACTTGGCCGAAAGTGATAAAATGGCCACTTTCGGCGCCGAAACCGAAGCCGAAGCCGAAATTCGGTCTGTCTCTATTATATATTATACACAGTTGGCTGGGAATCAAAAACTTAATGTTAGTCCCACTAGATAAATGGTTTACTTCCACTAGTATTCAAAGAAAAAAAAGGAGTTAGCAGAATTATGGGCTGCCTTGAATCTATAATTACTTTAACAGACTTTATTATAATACCATTATACACAGTTGGGTGGGAATAATGCTTAACACTATTCCCTGCTAATAGTCTATTACCGTTAACTATGATTATTCCCAGCCGACCGAATAAATGCTCCGATATCATCCGTTATAGAAATCAATTACTTTTTTTAAAAGCGTTAAGTGCAGGAACTTGGGCCTTCTCAGTTTTCTTTTAATGAATTTCTCCAGATAGTTGAATTGGAGGCATCCTTTAAAATCATCAATTTTTGCAGATTCAAATAGGTTTGAATTTTTGTGTATTTTAGGGACAGGTCTCAAACCAAGGGACCCGCTGAAGAGTACATCCCTGAGGCTGATGGTGTCATCGAGGTAATACATTTTATCATTATTAGTGTTACAGTGATGTTAAATAAATCTTAGAAGTCTTTGGCCTACTCAACTTGTTGATTTAATTTTTCATAAATATTTTTCCCTTCTGTTAGAGCAACTACGATGGAGTCGTGGATGCTTTTGATGACATGTCCCTCAGGGAGGATTTGCTCAGAGGCATCTATGCTTACGGTTTTGAAAAGCCATCTGCTATTCAGCAGAGGGCAATTCTACCATGCATTGGAGGTAAGTCAATTTAGTTTTTATTTTTCTAACATAAATATTCAGATTTATGAGTTAGGTTATCAGTGTACAGAACAAACACAGTACTTAAATTATAACAGGCACTTTTTAAATTTCTATTGATCTCCTTGTACCAAGCTGTTATGATTATTATTAATTTATTTTAAAAAATTAGGTCGAGATGTGATTGCCCAGGCCCAGTCTGGCACAGGAAAAACAGCTACATTTTCCATAGCTATATTGGAGAAACTTGATCTGAATAACAGCAACACACAAGCACTTGTGCTCGCTCCAACTAGGGAGCTTGCTCAGCAGGTATTTAAAAAAAAAAGACATTTCATTTCATGTTTGCCTTGTTTCAATTAATTCCATGGGTGCTAAATTTTAAACATATGTTAGGGGGTCATTCCCAAATTACGTCATGGGGGGTGGGAGGGGGAATGTCAGTCTAGAATTTGTGTCACTTTCTAATTTTGAAAAATCTTTGATCAATTAATTTTGAAAACATTAATTTGAAATTGCCTCAGGTATTAAAATTACCGGGAAACTCATCAATTGTTCTGGTCATTTTACATTCGGCTTGCGGATTGCTTTGTTGTTTTGCGTTAGAATATTAATAATATTACATCTTAATCCATTATGGGGAAAATGTTAAATAAAAATTAGTTTAGTTGTGAATATTTTATGTATGTTTTGATATTTTTTTTACGTGTCATGTGACACTAAAGGGGGGGGGGTGTAAAGAAATTGGGACAAGGGTCTATAAAGGATCTTTTTTGCGTGACATAATTTGCGAACGACCCCTTATATAGTGTTAAAGAATCATATCCCAAAAACTTAATTACTTTCATTTCCAACATTCCATTTCATGTGCACCAACTTGGCTCCAGTTAATCTGTTACAATGCACATTGTTTTTAATAATCTTTTAAAGGCATGTGAATATGATTTATAGTGAGTTGTAATTTGTCTTTAAGTAATTATTTCATTACTAGCTTCAGTGAATGATTGCATTTAATTTTTGTCTGGGATTTGCATGATTATTTTTTTCTTTCTTTGTGCCAACTAAAAGTTTCTTATAAATGTGTTTTTCTGAACAATGGAAATGTTTTATCATGAATAGGCTGCTGTGACTCCTATGTTGTCAGTTTTTACAGGTCTTTTAGTCTTGTTAGTTTATCAATTTTAATGGATGATAGACAACGTAAAAATTGTATTTTAAAAATCCATAAAGGGAAACCTGATTATAGTTTTGACATCCTTACCATTGTTTTTTATTTCAGATTCAGAAAGTTGTCTTGGCGCTCGGTGATTATCTGGGTGCCCAGTGTCATGCCTGCATTGGTGGTACATTGGTGCGTGAAGACATGAGAAAATTGGAGAGTGGGGCTCATGTTGTTGTTGGCACACCTGGCCGGGTGTATGATATGATCAACCGCAGAGCTCTCAATACTAAGGACATTAAAATGTTCGTGTTGGATGAGGCTGATGAGATGTTGTCCAGGGGTTTCAAAGATCAAATCTATGATGTCTTTAGGTTTATGCCTACTGAGATCCAGGTACGTTTGTTGAAAATAGGGTTTTGAGAACTGTAATAGTATTTTACCACATATGCTGTTTAGAAATTATCTTCCTAAAAGCACTGATCAGTTTTCTATAACTGTCTCGGCCGTCAAACGGAAGTAAAGTAAAACCATGTTTTATTTGGGTGAGGTGGTAAATATGATATCTGCTATCTCAATATAAAACCTAACATATTTGGAAATTTGATGGAAAGAATATAGTGAGATTGTCATGGATTTAGTATCATTTTTCAAGGTTAGTTGGCAACAGATATTATATATTGGAATGTGACTGGTTATTTCCTAACATGTTGATTGAATATAATTTAATATCCTCAGGTGATATTGTTGTCCGCAACCATGCCAAGTGATGTGTTGGAGGTAACCCAGCGCTTTATGAGAGATCCTGTACGGATCCTTGTCAAAAAGGAGGAGCTTACCCTTGAGGGTATCCGCCAGTTCTACGTTCAAGTAGAAAGAGAGGTAAATAATATCCCTGTGTAAAATTTGTGTTGTAATGGAAGGGTGATTTTATTTTAACTATTTCAACAGTTACTTTCAGTAATCGGTCTTCTTAAAAGCACTGTGCAGTCTCTAATAGCTGTTCCAGTCGTCAAATAGAAGTATACTAAACCCATGTGTTTTATTTGGGTGAGGTGGAAGATTTGATATCTGCTATCTCAAGATAAAGCATAACATTTTTAGAAGTGTCATGGAAAGAATGGAGTAGGATTGTTACAGATTATTATTTTTTATCTCAGTTTCATTATTATAAAAGTCAAATCATCTCATTGTTTGCATTATTTTCTATATTCAATTGGATTTTCTAAATTTCTGTCTTGTAAATGCGGTATAAAAGTGTAGTCTTCATGCCTAATTAAACAGTAGTTTAGCAATAAATAATAGGTAAAAAAATGTTTGCAGTCATTTTTAATATGCTTCATGTGAAGTTACTGGTGTCATATTTTTTAAGCAGGGACGTACACGAGATAGTTTTGAGTTTAAATTGAATTTAAGTATTTTTTTGAATTTTGGTAATTAGCCAGTTTGTTGTTCTTTCATAACTGTTGAAATTGTTGGCATCTCAGATTAAGAAAATTCCAAATCGTACTATCAGTTGTACTTTTGTTTCTTTTCATCCTTAAAAAATTCAATTATCTTCCTAAAAGCACTGTGCAGTTTTCTATAGCTGTCCAAGCCGTCCAACGGAAGCATAGTAAAACCATGTGTTTTATTTGGGTGAGGTGGTAGATTTAGTATCTTCCATCTCAATATAGAACCTAACATTGCCATAAAAATACCCCTATGTCATGTTGGTGTAATTTTAAAGACTATGCAGGGTGATTGCTGTTTGATTTACTTAGCTATGTCTTTTCAGATTAGTAAAAAGAATGAAATATTTTATTTTCTAATTATTCTTAAGGTATACCCTGTAGTAATGTATTTGATTGGAAAATAGAGTTTAATGAAATTTTTATTTCTCATCCCTGGATAAAATTATTTAAAAATATAAGCTGAATTAAACTATTAAAGGGTTAATTGTATATTATTGTTTTCTATTGAATAAAACAGTTTTGAGGTTAGTTTAAAGGTTGGCCAGTTGCTTGTCAATCAAAAGTTTGATATACGGTTGCTGCTTTAAGAAAAAAAAAATCTCAATATTTGAGTTTTACACTCTTTAGATAGTAATATATAGTTTGCTGTTTTTTTGGAAGTGTTTTAACAGCTTGTAACAGTGGATTAATTTAGAATAACAAGGAAATTAGGTATGTTTAAACATGTATCTTAATGGTTATACGTTAATTTAAGAAATAAAAAAGCACTACATAATATAAAGGTAGTTAACAGATGAACATCTTAAAATAATCATGTTACTAGAGCACAGATTTCCAGTCCGTGGAGGTGACCTCAAGTGTGGTTGCCGACCAAAAGCAGGGATTTTTTTTTGTTACTTTTTAATTGGTGTCTTATAGCTTAAGTTACAATTTCAATAATGACATTTAATGTGTCACAAATTACAGTATACTGGACATTTTATAAAAATGTTTTCCTTTCTAACAATTTACCTTATTTAAAGCTCTTTGTCCAGTATATCGTGAGGGTCACTTTTTATATGAAATGTGGTCGTGACATAAAAACGCTTAATAACCTGTGTAATGGAGCTACCGAGCCATCCAATGGAAGTAAATATGGATATGTACTTTTTTCGTCAGGAGTGGAAATTGGACACACTTTGTGATTTGTATGAGACCCTTACTATTACTCAAGCTGTTATCTTCTGCAACACCCGTAGGAAGGTCGATTGGCTGACTGAAAAGATGAGTTCAAGAGATTTTACTGTCTCAGCTATGGTAGGCATTTTTTTTTCTTTTATGAGCTTTCATATCTATCATATACTGAATTCTTCCTAAAAAGCACTGTACAGTTTACATAGCTGCTTCAGCCGTCAACTGGAAAATATTAAATTCACGTGTTCAATTTGGGTGAGGTGTTAAACTGTGTTTACCATCTCAATGTTGAACTCAACATGTTGAACATCTCATTGTTTGTTCTATGTTGGTAAACATTTTTGTTCTTATTCTATGCAGTCTATGAGCATATGTCTAATCTAATTAATTTAATTTTACAGCATGGAGACATGAATCAAAATGAAAGAGACTTAATCATGAGAGAGTTTCGCTCAGGCTCCAGCCGTGTACTCATCACCACTGATTTGCTGGCCCGTGGTATTGATGTTCAGCAGGTTTCCCTAGTCATTAATTATGATCTGCCGGCAAACCGAGAAAATTACATTCACAGGTAAGTTTTGCGCAATATTAACATTTGGTCTTGCTTTGTATGTCAATTTTAGGTGAAATTTATTATCACTAAGTACTATTAGTTCTTTCATTTAACAACAGGTAATTTTCAATTAATTTTCTTGGACTAGCGTTTACTTAGGCAATTAAGGCACAGTTTGTGTTCTTTAATTATTTCTTTATTGTACTTTTATTTTTATAGAATTGGTCGTGGTGGGCGATTTGGTCGTAAAGGTGTTGCCATCAACTTTGTTACATCTGATGATATTCGCACATTGCGAGACATTGAGCAGTTTTACAACACTACCATCGAGGAAATGCCTATGGATGTCGCAGATCTACTTTAAATCTTGATAGTTTCATCCGCCAGTCAAAGATTTGTGCTGTCTGAACGTGCCCATCGCCGATTTCTTTGTATGAGGTTTGGGAAGACAAAACGAGTTTCAAACAATATTTAAGAGGTCGCTGAAACTTTGCAGTAGTGTTTAAACCTATTGCGATTTTGGGAGGTGTGCTTGTAAAATTGTTTTTTCCCCCATCCCATTTTTTTTTTAACTAAAGGTTTTTAAATAATTTATTATCATCTTCATCACTTTCATTCATCTTCAATTTATTTTTTATTTTTAAGTTGGGGGATGATATTAGATTGACAACTTGTATATTATAGAGTTTTCTCACATTTGTCTATATCGTTGTTGTTTTGTCTATATTTTCTTCAAATAAATGTTGTGCTGAGCAAAGTATTTTTTTTTTTCACGTTTCACTAGATTGTTACTTCTGGTGTCATTTTGTTATAATCAAAAAGTTAGTAACATTACAAAATATGCACTTTGATTTTGTTCAATCTTTAGACAATTTTAGGCTGTTAGTGAGCCATAGATGACATTAGCTTTTGTCCATTTTGTAACAAAAAGATTTTTTTTTTTAAAAATGATGTATATTTTAACAGCTACCAGTCTATTTCTTTAAAAAAATTAGCATCTGTTTTTGTGAGGCCATCCGTCTAGCCAGTTATAGTTCTTATTTGAAAATGTAAAAACGATCATTGTTTCAAAGGGAACACAATTTGGCTACACATGTAATGTTTCATTAATTGTATATGCATTTGATTGAGAATGTGAGTGTATTGTGTGTGGCTGCATGCGAATACTCCATCACTCTCTCACTCTCGGCATTGGGCAGTGTGTTATCACTGTCTTTTAACAGTTGAAGCCTACATCTAAGGGTTATATGAAATGTTCAAGTACTGCAAGTCTTATGAAAAATATAAAAAAAATGGATGTAATAAAAAATTGAAAAAGCTTAAACTTTTCAGTCCCTTTTATTTCTGAAAGTACATGGTAATGCTCTATTGATAAAATAGTTCTTTAAGTGGAAATTGGTCATTGTCAGGTCAAGCTAGTGGAACTCATTTTAGTGTCGCTACTATACCAAAAATGTGGTAAATAATAAACTAATAGTTGGGTCTCTAGTTGCTTATAACCAGGAAATTGGCTTTACTTTGGAAGACTTCTTATAATTTAAAGATGTGCATTTTGTCTTTTGGTAAAAAAAAAAAAAACCCTGAAACTTTTTCCAATCATGGGTAAAAAAATTTCATCAACCGTGATGGTGCCTGTTCTAAACCTGTTAAACATGCACTTTTCCTGACATCAAACTGAAAGTACTCTTCTTCCAATCAAATCTATCTCACAGTGCAATTTCTTCCTAAATTGTAAATAAATTGTTAACAAAATAATTGTTTGAATAGTTTTTTTCATATAATTCAATATGCATCATTTATATAAATATAATAAAGATAAAAAAATTTCCTTGGACATGGGTGGGAGGCATGTGCTGTTGGGTTACACTTAACACATAGAAATTTTAAAGTTTTTCACATATTCTCTTACCATTCACATGTAAGAAAATATTCCTTCAGAACTTCAATAACTTAAGATACATTATATGAAAGTGCAAATAAGAACACTTTGCCCCTGAGACACAGTCAAATATAAGTCTTACTCTTGTACAAAATCAAAATAATCCATCCCACTAATCAATATCTTTGGCAGTGATTTTCTTTTTTTTCTTTTCTTAAAATACAGTTGATAAAACTAACATCTCAAAAATATTCTTTAGTAGAAATCTTATGAGTTCCAGTTAGCAATTATTGTTACTATAAATAATGCTGCATGGTGAAGGATCCTGGCCACTAGCAAACTTTATTGTAAGTTTGTGGGGAGGGGGGGTGTAAGAATATATACATAGAGGTAACTTGGACTAAACTCAATTAATTTAATTGAACAAAGGGTTAGCTTTCTTTAACCAATTACTTTAACTCGCAAACCACCATATCACTCTTTTCACTAATTTAAAGCTAATTACATTGCACAAGTAATCGAAATTATAAATAGTTGCAAAATTTTAGAGACAGGATTGACAAAAAAGGGCAAAAACAGCTTTAACATTTAACTTGCAGATCTTCTAAAGTCTTGATATCATTAATACTAATACTAAACACATCCTGAATATTACTATTAGTTTAATGATGTATCTGAGCAATCTTTATGCATAGGCAACTGCATAGTTGATTTTGATCAATTGACCTAGTTTTCATTACTGCTCAGACACAAAAATACATTGACTTTTTTTTTTTGCCATAAAAATGGTGTGAAATCGGTTCTCAGGCATTTAGGACAAATGTTCATGCACAGTTAGGTCAGACCTTGTCATGTGTTAGCTCTGTTTCAAAGTTATCACCACTTTCAAATGTGACACATGCTCTTTGTTTGCCATGGAATATTATCTCAAGTCTAGTCTAACTGATTATCTCTTCTAGTCTTAACTGATTATCTTAAGTGAAGTAGATTGATTATCTCAAGCCTTTTCATTGATTGAATGGATTATCTTGATTCAACAACTGAAGCATTGTGTTAGTGTAAAAACATTTGACACTCTTTTGCTCACAACAGTTTTAAGGAAAAAAAATATATTTAAATATTAATTTTGTTTTAAGTGCACCATTTTAAACACACATTTTGCATATGTCAGTGCATATATATTTAGAAAGATGGTTAAAAAGAGCTGTTATGACACAATGATCTGATACTGATAAGCAAAAGTCCACTAGGTTATAAGTATTTTAATAGAATAAAACTAAATGAATTAAAATCAGGAAGACAAACAAAACCTGTTTTCAGTTTTGAGATAAAAAAAAAATAATTAATGACATAAAAAAAATAAATCAAGATAAAAACACATAGAAATATTAGCTAGGAGAAGTAGAAGCACAAAGAAATAAGAAATGTAAAAAAGTAATTTCACAATTTTAATCTTTGACAAATATATCCACCATGGAATGTTAGGGAGGAGGTTCTTTTCTTATAGAAAAGTTCGACAGACTAATGTCCAGTGGCACACAAAATATATACAAGCAGTTTAACATGGATTAGATCAGGGGTCCTAAAACTGTCACTATACTATAAGGGCCAGTTGTCCTTACACTGTTAATAATATAATAGCCCCATGGTTCTTACTGTCACTATTGGTCAGTTATTTTTATTTAAAACTGTTGCATTATATAAGCCCAGTGGATATCTAAAACAGTTACTATGGTAATCAAATTGCTTTTTAAAAAATTAATTGTGTGACTTAAATCATTCCTAATGATGTAGATGGTACATATATAATTTTCAAAAGAAACAATGAAATCTTAGATTTCATGAAACTTTCCATAACCATTCAGATTACCAAGATGACCAATGTTGTAAGCCTTTACCCCTGATCTACTTTCATGACAAAGAAAATCTTCAAGATCAACCTGATCTGGACAACAAAAAAAATCATCTTTAAAAATTAAAGTCATAATCATAATGGAAGTACAAGTAAAAATATAACATCAAATATATTTATTAAAAAAAAATTCTTTAAGCTGTCCTGCAGCAAAACAAAATGAATTTCATGACAGAACACCATTGAAAGCTCTGCTGAGTATGTGACAGTTCAATGACATGGAAATGTGTGCACATATAACATATACCAGAACAAATATATAGTGTAGAAGATCGTTGCAATACAATGGGATTGAGAGAAAATTTCATGCCAGACAACAAAAACATGAGGAAAAAAAACCAAACCACATTGGCTTCTTATTACTTTCTTAAAAAATAATCAGTGTTTAAAAACTGTGGTAGGAGAGAGATAATAGGGACATTTTCTATTGATCTTGTACTAAAATATTTAGTGGTCATATTTATGTAAGGTTTGTAAGGTTCTGTTAATTGGAGAAAAAGTTCGGCTAGCTGAATGAAGAGGGTTTAAAAATATATTATAAAAAGAATAAATAAATAAATATTCGTGTCTTAGCCAACAACTGTTTTTGTCTAAAACACCAAATATATTTCAGTCTTGGCCATCCAAATATTTGTATATACCAGACCCAGAATTCCAGGCCTTCTTCAGTTAAAGATATAGAAAAGTTTTCACGAAATGAGAAAGAGCTAAAGAAGGCCATCATTGATACTACAAGGCAATCCATTGAAAGGAAGTTTCTATTACTATTACCGTACAAGCAACCCATTGAAGGGAAGTGTGTCTGATGAGGAGACCAATCTATGCTTTTAAGTTTGTATATGCTGAAGCGGAAAAGTGGGTTGCGAGGCGGAGCTGTATGTTACTGTGGTGGATGTGTGCGTGCAGCATAGTTTGAATGTAGATCTGTGCTTATACTTATATTTTACTATTTTACCCCATTATCATTTTAAAATTTGATAAAAGCTGAAACTCAGTACAAATATTTGCATGACATGACATGAAGAATCCCACTTTATGACATGAGCTCAACACTTTGTGGGGAAAAGGTCTATTATTTATTAACACACAAAAAAAAAGAAATTGTTTGCTTTTCCATCTTCAAACAAGTAAAAGAATTGGAAGACCCTAAAATTGGCAACATCAATGGTGAGGGTTACAAGTAAATGTGTATAGAACAATTTTGGTGATCAATGAGAACCACACCCCCCCCCCCCCCCCCCCACCACCCATTTTTCCTTTTAAAATATCATTATGTTGATAGTCCTAAATACATTGACCAAAAAAAAAGTTGTTTTCAAAAACAAGCCCAAAAGGAATAAATATAAAAAAACAAACTTAGAAAGTCCTTTTCTTGAAAATAGACTTAGATCTACATGCATAGGAGCCAAAATGATCAATAAATTGATCGTGGGCCCTTAAGATATAGAAGAAGAAGAAGAAGAAGATCAAATACAACGTGTCACTAAAGGGAGTTGACACAGGGAAATTGATATTTGAAACAAAACTGGCTCTGTGACAAATATGTGACAGATACCAGTGCTCTTAGTTGTCAGTACAATAAAAATTAAATTTAAAAAAAAGTTAGCAATTTATTTTGATGAAAGACTCAAGACTCTCATCCACAAGAAGTGCATTGCTCCACATTTTCCCCCTTCTCACCATTCTTCACCATGACCTTGTTGAAGTCTGGTTTCACATTCTTATCTGCTTTAAACAATTCAAAGTGGATAAATACGTTTTTTTTTAAAAATTCCAAAACTTTCTTGGATTTAGAAGCGCTTCCAAGAAATCTGGCTATTTTCACAAGTAATATGGAATATTTTTGTATAAGGCCTTTAGGATTCAATAAACCAGCAGCCATTCGGTGCTCACATAGTTGGTTAATAACATTTTCTGCAATTCTCTTCATATTTACACACACAAAAACATTTATGAAAAAACATATATAATAAAATTGATTTTTGGACTGATTGTTTCAGAATGTACATTATCTATTTATAAATATATATATATATATATATATATATAAATAAACTGCTCCATGTATCCAAAAAATATATTAACTGCTATATATTTATATCTTTGAAATATATATATATCAGTTTATATATTAAATATGTATGTGGATATTTTAATATATATATATATATATATATATATATATATATATATATATATACATATATATATATATATATATATATATATATATATATATATATATATATACATATATATATATATATATATACATATATATATATATATATATTAAAACATAGACAAAAAGGATAAATTATTGACAGATCAGTTGGTATAAAAACATGTTTGTTAACTGCCCTATTGAGTCACTCTGTCCAACATTCAACAGCTTCCAAGTAGGTTAAGCCTTGCCTTGTCCCCAGCAACTGATCAGAACACATGTGTGACGCCAATGAATTGTGCTGCTCATATAACATTTGGCTGCAGGCTGTGTTGATATCTTTGGCAACCCACAAGGTTAAAGGAGTTCACATGCTTGTTCATCCCATGTCACTTGTGTTGACATGTATGACACAACCTGCCCTCAAAGCTCCTGTCTTGTTTGCCCTTCAGGCCAGTGACCTGTGTCAAGAACTGGGTCTGTCATAGGCAGCCTCACGGTGGTGTAACTCTTTAATGCCTTGTTGGATACGTTTCAGGTGACCTACTTTGGTAACTCCAAGATCCTGACATAGAAAACAATAATTTAGTTATTTTCCTGGACATTGCATAAGTTGAAAACCATCTTTGTTATAGATATTAGATGCAACTAATCCTTATTTGTTTATAGATATAAAATGCAACTGAACCTCATTTTTAAAATAGATATTAGACCAAGGGTCGGGAACCTTTTTGTCTAAAGATCCATGGACACCACATATTTTGAAAAGTAATTCTGTGAGAGCCATACATTTATGTTTAAAACTAAAAATTCAAGTAAATGTGTGCATTTTGTGTAGTTTCAACACTAAAAATGCAATAATTATGTCTCTGAATTCTTTTTAATAACATTGTTATGCTGTTGCTAATCAACAATGAGTATTTCTTACCATTAATGCAACTTTTTTTTATAATCAAACATTTGTCTGCGAGCCAAATGCAGCCATCAATAGAGCCAGATCTGGCTCAATAGAGCCAGATCTGGCTCGCGAGCCATAGGTTCCCGACCCCTGGGTTAGACCATTCATTTACCCATTTACTGTTTACCCTGTTCAAAACAAAACTTTCATACCCCCTCCCCCCCAAATCTGCCACTTTACCTTGAGGTCTCTCCTCTCCAGGTTCAGTAACTCTGCCCCTGTTATCTCATGTGACATGAAACTCTCCCTGTACTCTCCCAGAGATAAACTCTCCAGCCACTGGCCCACCTCTTCCAGTGTCCAGCTCCTGATTTCAAATGCTGCACATGGGGGCAGGAAAAAAAAAGAAGTTACAAATGAAAATATTATCTTAGCAATGGAACCTGATACAATTTTATTAAGGAGGGGGAAGCCCCCCACTTGGCACTTTTCTACCCAGTACCAATTTTGGATTTGGTTTTTTCCCCTCATGCAGAGTAAGATCTGATGGATCAGAAATCTGTAACATTTCACTGCACGATTTTCGTACTAGTTTAAAAGTTGTATCATTCCCTTGTGCAGACATAAATGTAAGGTGTCAACAAAATGACCGTTGCTTCCTGCCCACGAGAATCACTTTGTTGAGCAGTTTGTGTTGCCAGTTTGGGAACCGATATTTTCAATGAAAATGATGCAGAAAATTATGATATGTGAAATCATTAAAGACATGTTAAAATATTTGCCAAATGTTGATCCGGTTTGTTGTTAAAATGATCAGCTTTGTGGGTTGCGGTGGGTATTTGCCTTGTTAAGTTAACCAGGCATGATGTCTCACTACCAGATATCATCAACCCACATCAACCCAACAGAGGACATTTGCTCTGCATAACAACCACAGACAGCAAATTCTATCCATGTAGATTTGACTAAGACGAGACTACAATTCACTAACATGTCCAGTATATTAAAACTGACCGAAATGGACCAAGACATGACCTAAACTGACTAGATGGGATTTACAGACAAGGTGGAATTGGCTACTACCCAGGAGGATTTGGCAACTAATTTGGTGGAATTGGCTGCTGAT